GAGGGGTCATCCCACTGTAGCAGACAAAATTGTCAGCCCTCCCAAGCCAGGTATCCAGGTCTTCCTCAGGACAACCCCCATAAGTTTTGAGGGCAGAGCCAGCTAGACGTTGGAACATGTTGAGGGGAGGGGCTGGCACCGTGGCAAGGGTGTTGGCAACAGTGGCGGCAGCCTGCGAGGCTTGCATTGCCGATTCTACTGCAGGGGCGGCCTGGTGAGTGGCTGCTGCCACCTGCTCCGTTTTGGCCATGTGTTCTTGGAGACGGTGGAGTTCCTCACAAAGCTGGAGGAGCTCTGGAGTGGACACAGGTTCAGTCATTGTAAACAAAATGGAGGGTTCCGCAAAAATAAAAAATAATGATCAGTCTGTCTAGAAACGTAGCTTTGCTACCAAATGTTGCGGTATTGGGCAAATAGGCGGCCAAAATCAAGGACATAAGAGTGGCAGTTGGCCAACTCTGGCTGTCAGTCAAGGGGAACGGCGCAGTTGGCGCAAAAGATATCAAGTAAGTCAAGCGCAGATGGCGCTATAGAAAACAGTCGGAAAACGAGTCTGAAGTTTATTTAGTTAGGGCAGGCGCAAGATATTAAATAGGAAAGGAAAAATTGGCAATGACGCCTTAATTGTTGATGACAAAGCCTCTTCCAGCCTTTATCAGGTCGTGATAAAGGCTGGCCTAATCTTAGGTATCGGAGGTGATTGAGTTGTGGACAACAATCCACAACATTGCTGTGGTGCCAACACCCATCTTGACTCTTGAAGGCATCTGACGGGCACGTCAACATTGGGAAAGCAAAAACAATGGCCAAGCCCTTTGTGAGGAAGGCTAGGATTAAGGTTTAAGGTTACACACCTTATGCAGTGGGATGTAGATCCTTCCCCACTCACCAGTGTAAAAGCAAGCCCATGCAGTTAGGCAAGGGCTTGCCAGCTAAATTTCTCATTTTATTTTTGATTCATTCTAGTAAAGCTTTAATTTCTTTATTTTTTTGTCAACAAACAAACCTTGGAACAATCCCATACTATTTACTTTTTGCCACTAACATAAACAACCCCACCACCTTGCCATTAGGCCCAGTCTGTCATCATGTACAGCCTAACCAAAGAACTCTGCCCAGAGCCAAGCACCACATTGCTGTGGAGCCCTCACTCTGTTTGGCCTCCTGAAGATTCCTGATGGATGGATCTTGGTTAGAATGATCTACTAGGACATGTATGTGTTAGCAAATCCATCAGGGAAAGCCTAATGCATCTGCCAAGCCATGGGTAAGCCAATACTTTTAGAGTATACCATCAGGCCATTTCTCCCACTAATGATGGGCCTGATTTCCCATGACTTGGGTTTCATACTTTTTGATTCTTGATGTTTCAGACATTTGGATTTCAAGTGTTTCATCCTGAAGGTTGCCAAATGCATTTTACCAGCCTAAATCACTAAGGCAACCATAGGCAACTGTTTTGGCACCTTGGAGACAAACTCCTATTTAAGGTCAGAACTTCTGCCCTTCTATGTCCTGGGAGTGTTTCCCCTGCCTTGCCTCCAGGCAACCCTTTTGAGTTTCCCTTGGTTCATTTGTACTTTCTTACCCAAGTATGTCTACCTTAATGAAACTCCTCTCTCCTACCTATTAAGATTGTGATTAGATTACTGAAGTATCTGGCCTTAGGGTCAAATATCTAGGTAACCTTCACAGAGTTGTGGAGCCCTGATATATTCCAGCCTCCTGAAGAGACCCAAGGGCCCCTTGTATAAGGGGGCAACTTTGGTGCCACAGTAAAAGGTCAACAAACCCACTAGGGGAAGGTGAAAGGGCAATCCACAAGAACAAGACAATCCCCCAAACCCTCTACCAATAGTATCCCAAATTTCCCATGGATGGGGTTTCATACTTTTTGATTTATTCTATTTCATCTACCAGGTTGCCAGCCATACCCATGAGCCAGAGTGACCTGAGGGCACCTCAGTGCAGCATCATTTTAGTTTTATATTTAAGGCAGAACCTATTACACCTAATGATTTGGGGAGTGTTTTCCCTGCCTTGCCTCAAGGCACCTAGTATCATTAAAAAAACCAACTATCTTATTTTGTCAACCTATGCCTTATAGCTTTTTCCTATCTATGCTTTGCAATGGTGTAGCCCTCACTTTCTTAGGTCTCTTGAAGGTTCTTTACCACTTGATATACCTGCCAGTATGTCTTGTGTTGATAGAATAACCTTGCCACTTGTGGGAATGATATCTGCAAAGTGTCCACCACTACCCACCCATGTATAGGAGTCCTCCTGTACAGCATGGGAAATCTTGCATAGATTTCCTCACTGGCTGTCCTGAGCCTACCCTGGCAGTAGCACTTTAGGTTAGATTACCTCTATGGTCATAGGGGCATGAGCCTGACCTCCTAGAGACACTTGGATGATTGTCTTATTGTTCTTGAGGTTATATCCTTGGCATATTGTTGTTCTGGTCATCCCAACCTTTCCAATTATACCCTGGATAAAGTGGCCTTAACTGTAGGTAATACCAATATCTTTGCCACTTGGGTATTACCTCTACAATAGATATAGTTGAAGCTCAAGTATCTCTACACTTGGAGAATTATTTCTACACAATGCTTCTGGGATCTAGTTAGCCAATATATCCAGGTTGTAATAATGGCATGTCATAAGACTAATCCCAGGCGGAGCTGGTTGGTTGTCATTCGTGCAAAAATGAAAAAGTTGCGGCACCGACTATTCCCAAGTGGTCACCCACCTTAGTACTAAATCGGCTGATTGGCCCTTAACTTCGCAGATCTAACGGGATATGGTGCTTCACGTCAACAGATGGCCGCAACTGACAACATTTGGACAACCATTGTTCTAACCTTTTAGAAATATTAAATAGTGCACTCTGATTGGTCAATCACTTGCACTAGTCAGTTTGCCACCATTATATCCTCCATTGTCTGGAATGGCAGTAAGAGCAGCGTCCTTTCAAGGGGTAGACTGGTCACAGTTGTTGCCTCCAATGTATATGTAATTTTCTATGTGTTGGCTAATGTACCCAATGGCTAATCAGCATAATGATTATTTGCCTAGACCATTCTATGAGTTTAGCAATACTGCAAGTTAATCTAGCTCACTGAGCCATGGAAGTGAGCTCTACCAAATATAGATATCCAGGAAATGCCAGGGAAGGATGAATGCATACTACACCTACATTAGATGATAATCCCTATCATGTATTACTCCCTCATCATATGGCCCTCTAAGGTTCTAGGTTGGTTGGTATGCAGGGTCAGGCTTTGCTGCCGTGGTACCAGGGATTAAGGAGGATATGGTACAAGGGGGCTGTAGGTGGCCCAAGAGGGGATTGGTAACTATGGTGGCTGAATGTTAAGAAGGCAGTTAGTGAAGTTGATTGGTGAGTTGAGGAGGCCAGGTCTTATCTATGCCAGAGGATAGTAAAAAGGCCAACCAGGGCCAGGGTTACAGCCAGGCAATGCCAGAGTCATCTGTTAAAGAAGGTAGGAAAACTTTGATCTAATAATCACAAGGATAACTGTAAGCAAAGAATTTGGATTGGTTAATGGTTTGGAGTTGCAGGGCAACACACAGAATGACAATAGAAGCAGTTAATTGGGAATGGTTGGTTCCTGAGCTAGTAGGTCTGTCAGCATTAACCAAGCGGCTTAGTCATCCATTCATTACTCAGTGGTGGTCAATTATAGTGACCACAGCTGCTGGTATCTATCCAGATGAAAGGTCTTCCAGATGGCAAAGAATGGGCCTAGTGTTTGAGCAAATACTGTGCATGTAGAAGTTATGGGTCAAGTGGCTTGGCAAAATATCCATGCACCTGATGTGCTTGGCTGTGTGGGGTGCAGTTTGCCGGTTTATGTGGAGGTTAGCAACCAAGTGCCCTGCATATGGTATTGGGACTAGGGGTTATTAGAGGCCCTTTTTAGTCTTAAATCAGTAAAAGGGTAGGATAATGGTGGAATAAACCAGGTCAAACTCAAGGACATGTCAGAAACCAAAAGGCTGCCAAGTTATAAGTAAAGCAGAAGGCAGTAATGGTGGGGTTGTAAATTGTATAGCTGAGCTGATATTGGGACCAAGTTCAATTCCATTCCTAAAGGATAATTCAACTATCACAGATCTCCTGGTTCTTAAATAACAGACTTTTGGACTTTACCATAGGATGATCTAATGTGGTGGTTCCCATCCACTACATTTGATGAAATCCATGCCTTATGTTTGACATGTATGCTGAGGAAGGAGCTCAGCTCACTAGAGGAAAACACACACTACACTGTCTGACCCCAATGTAGCCTTATAGATCCAAGTAGAAGGGTCATTACACCTGTGGTTGCTGCAGTAGGTGAGTACAGCAATGTTGGAAGAAATGGTGTTAGTATGGCAATGGCAAAAGCTGTAATACTAGTCATTGTTTCTTTTTTCACCCTTAGTCTATAATACCAGTAAAGAGCAGTCTACTAGAGACCACTGGGATCTAATCAACGTGTTGCACAGTAATGATACAAACTGTAAATTCATAATTGAAAAAGTATAATCCCTAACTAACCATTGGGGTACTTACACATGGTAATGCAGCCTGCAATGGCAACATGCCCAAAAACTCAAGTCAATGGGTGACCTGGGCAGAGACTATCTTGGTGACTAATAGCTGTGAGATGGTGCAGAAGTAAATAGGAAACAGGAATGGTGAGATTCTATCCTAATTGGGGTTGAGATAGTTAGAAAGGTTGATTATATAAAAATATACAATCAGTATATAGTTGTAGGGCCACTGGAACAGTAAAGGGCAAATTACTACTGGTTATCTAGTAAAAAAGTGTGTAAATCATTCCGATATATCATACACCAAGTAGTATATATGTAGTATTTTCAAGGCACAGCTACCAGGCTTACTTCTTTTACAGGCAAAGTCAGCATTCCAAACTTCCTCAGAGGTCCAGTCATAGAAGTGATAAGAAATTCAAAAAAAAAATATACTTTGATTCCAGCCGGATTCGAACCGGCGACCGTCTGTATGTTAGACAGACGTGATAACCGACTACACCATGGAATCATCTCTTTCTTATTACCCCCATTTTTCGCCCGCTTTCGGATTTTCGCACGCGTTTTCCTCGCTAACCGCCGATTCAACCGCCTGACAAGTGGGTATCCCCGAAACGTGCT